AAGGGCCGTTTATTTTGTTTATCATCTTTCGTTGGAAGTGTTGTTTGGTCAGGAGATCCTAAGGATTGTCTGACTGCCAGTATGTGCTAGTTCATTTAGCATTACCCAGGGTGCACGTGTAGTATTCTACTACGGACGCGAACTAGCTCTACACCCCACCAAATCTACTGAAAATGGTAGATGCTTAAACTATTCGAACTTTACCCATTCATGCTTAGCGTTGCATTTTCACAACACTTCTATATTATGCATGACGCGAAATAAAGCAGCACATAAAAGAAAAACCAACCCACATTAGATACAAATCTTAGTCTTTAATCGAAGATCTGGTTTATTTGATTACCTTTAAAGAGTATCAAGGAACCAAAGGAAAACAAAATAGTTATAAAACTTATTTAACAAGGAACCCGGTCTACACCGGGAGCAAAACTTTTATATAATATTTGACTATTTTTTCTGTCATATTCAATTTTTGAAAAAATATAACTAAAGACCACCTATGGATACGTCTTTCTACTGAATACGTAGAGCACGTTTTATCCACGGTGTCAACGCCAGCGTTGTGAGAATTTTAGTCCATATTGGGCTTATCAGTGACCTGATTTATAAAGGAATCATAATGCATTGTGAAAAGTAAAATACCCGCTTAGTTCTTTTTTGGAAAAAATGATACAAAGTGTAGCTTCATGTTGAAACCCAAAAATAGATGAACCTTCTATTTGATTTGTGGGATCTATTTTTTTTATTGTTCGAACTATTGAAATCTTTTTTTTTTCAACAGATCTATTACTAACTTTTAACTGGTACCAGTTAATCACAAGTTATACTGCGGTTTTTTCCGTTCTCTCTTTCAACCAATCGTTGTGTAATATCCTCTGGCTTATTTGATTTTTTGTAAGGCCCATCTGGTTATTTACCCACGGTACAACTTGATACTGCTCACATAAAATGTTTGTGAATCACACAATACGAATGCTTTTATCCCATATTTTGCAGCTTTTTTGGGATATAGATTTATTCTACTGTAAAAAGCATCTCGCTCGAACAGAAAATAAGCATTTCGTCATTGGTAGATCTTTACGTTACGTGTAACTGTTATAACAATTGTTGGAAAAGCGGTCCAGCAAAAATCATATAGGGGCAAGTTTGTCAGTAGCTTTTCTTTAAGCTCTTGTATCTTTATTGTCGAACCTAAGAGCACATAAGAGAAATTAAAATCAGTTGGAGCACATACAAGCTCTGAAAATTTATAAGCCCGCTTCATACATCCAAAAAATGTGTGTGACCTTGTTTTTTAAACCCAGGTAAAAACGAAAGTCCCATTGGTACTGTAATTTCAGATTTGGTTGTATTTCTGGCATCTCTTTTGTGATTGTATTTCTATTTGCATATTTTTATTATTCTAATTTAAATCCATATTTAAGTAGAACTTCAAGCGAAAATAAAATGAACTTATTTCATTTTCACTTCTTCTCGAAATAATACATCAGCAAATGCTTGGAGTTCTTTATCAGTAAGTCGATTGGGATTTCTAACTGGAATCTGATCCCTAAAAAATAAATTACTAATAAAAATTGCTATCTACATAAGAAAAGTATTGTTTATAAAGCAAAATATATTTTTTCTTCAAACGTCAAATAATGATGACAGTACTTATCTAACGTTGATCCTGTCAAAGTTTGATGTCTCCGCGCTGGCAGCAGTTTTTTTTACCATTTCTTTACGGCGGAGGGAAAAATGTTGTCATGGCAACAATATGAAACATGTCACAAAGCAACAATATAAATGTCATTAACAACAATTAAACATCATTTTTGTTTATAGTAATATTAAAAGTACAATTAGTTAATGAGGCATTTTCAAAATTGAAACCGTGCAAAAATGTTCCCGACTCTTGATACGCGTTGGTAATTGTTGATGATACTGATGGTCGAGAACAACTTTCAGCAATCATTCCCGATGTTGGCGAATCATGAGTGTTAATTTTTTGAGCATTATCGTTCTTATTTCTTATTGAATCCTCTATATATCCTTCGGCAACCGGGTTTGATTTCCAGCCCCCATGTCGTTTGAGGCATTCTAGATTTCTGCCTCCATCCATTAAAAGTGTTGCTGAAGTTCGTCGTTAAGAGTGATCGCTGTATGCGCTTGCATCGTTTAAATTTAAAATAACTAGCTACTTTTTGGGCTACTGCGCTGATCGAATGTATTCCCATGACGCTTCGGTAACACTTTCCATTTTGGTACTTGATAAACAATCGGTTTTCTGTGAAATTTTCAGGCCGCAGTGACTGTGATGCATTATCCTCAATTTTAATCCTCAATGTCCACAGTCTTCATTTTTACCATTTCGTCGCATCCACAGGTGCCGGTAACCCCAATTAACAAAACAATCTGAAATATTTTTATAATTTAGTAGAGTATACTACATGTTTTGCAATATATTTTTTTTTACCTTTAATCCTAAATACAACTTATCTGGCGCTTCAAACAAAATTTATCAACTCGTCTTTAGTAAAACTTTAGACTTATTTGCAGTATATCCTTCGCTTGTTTTTTCAGAAAGGCACGTAACTTTAAAAATTTGCTTATTTCCACATTTTTTCTAATAACTAGCTCGGATTTTATCATAGAGTATCGCGACCACATTGTAGAAGATTTCCATTTATTTTCATTTTCCATTATATTAAAATATGCCAGTAAACGTCTTCGGTAACTTGCCGTACTCCTCTTGTATCGCACCACTCTTGGAAGTGCTTGTACGCTAACCTGATACGTTATTCCGGACTTGGAGGGCCCCAAACGTGCTACTGCATCATTAGCCACGGGCTCAATTTCCTTTAGGTTTTCCATTTTCGCACTAAATTTGCGCTTGAGGTTGCAACAACTATAAGCTGTCTTTAATAATTGCAAACAACTGTCAAACAACTGTAACCAGGGAGACGCAAATCTCGCCGACGACTTAATTATTTTAATTTCTAACATCTAAACGACTTTGATAGTTGTCACAGTTAATTTCGAGTAAAAATAGCGTATGAATTGTACTATTTATGGTTGAAAATTGCTACGTTTGAAGAAAAAATAGTATACTTTATTCGGCAAAGAAGCGACTTTTCTTGACTTGCCCTCTATTACGCGCCATGCTTCTCCGCCTTCATAAAGTAATATACTATTGTGCCCTAATGACTAAAAAACAATTGAAAGATGTACTTACTTTACTTCACTCGTGGCGTATTTTGTATTTTTTTTTTTCAGTGGGAACAATAAATAATAAACGGCTAATTACGATCTACTCAAAACGTCGATTCTAATAAAACTAAAACGAGGTCTAAAGCACGTTCCCATGATAGGTTAGATAAATATGGTAGGGTCGATCTTTAAATTTTAAAATATCTTTGCAGTAGAATTATTATATCTGGCGTACAAATACGTCAGCGGGTGTAGGTAAAGGTTAAGAAAAATGTAAAGTAAAATATTGACTGTTAAACTCAAAAACATTGTTTTGACTTAATACCAAACAGTGGTTGGGTTTACAGTGATAAAAACATATTTGAAAGTATTAAATTATACGACAATATGACGAACGGTAGTTTGCCAAGTAACCTAATAGCGGCTTCCCACGGTCGGCGATATTACGGACGTAAGCGGACCAGCACGCACCACGCACCGTGGGAAGGGTCTCGTCCGTCGTAGCGCAGGCACGTCTGTGCTGGTCCGTCCTATCCATCTAGAGTCGGTAACATCAAAGGTGCGGTACATGCTCGTGCGACGCGATCCTAGCGCGTCTGTGTTTTAACAGACGACAAGTGCAAGTCAGAAGTTTTTCATTCGCTGACACGAGTAGTTGTCTGTAGTATTGTCAAAGTTGTTTTGCAGTTTTTTGCTAAAAAATGGAATGGACAAACGAAGTTATTTTTGATTTTTTAAATTTGTATCAAAATGAAACAAATTTATGGAATTCTACGGCACCAGAGCATAAGAAGCGGAACCGATATATACAATGTATGGAACCAATAAAAAATAAATGAAGAATAGTACTATTTCGATTAAAGAATTAAAAAATAAGAGAAATATTAATGCCGAATTTAATGTTTACAAGCCTGAGTGGCCTTTTTATGTATAATCAAACAATACTGTCACGGACCTACACAGACTGTCACGGACCGTAGGAAGAGCTCTGTCTGCGGTGCGTTCTCGTCCGTGCTGATCGGCTGTCCGCGATGATCTGTAGAATCGCTGACCGTTGGAAGCACTGTAAGATGCTGGTAGTAAGATATCTTATTTGACTCACATTGCCTCTTAAACGTGTCCTACCAAAATGTTGGAAAAATGTGTCCTACTTTTATCTAAAATAGACGTGGTGCTGGGTTTTTTTTTTTAATGTGGTCGCAGTTCCTGATAATATCTTTGTTTCGTTTTCGTCCGGCAACTCTGTATACTGGATATTGAAAAGACTATCTTTATTTTACTAAGATTTGCTGTGGTATTTTGTAATAGTGGGATTGAAATATATTCTCATAAATTTTAAAATAGTTAATGTTTATTAGATTGTTCCTGTCATTCTGTTTGTTTTTTAACCAAAAAGTAGGTAACTCATAGAATAGTTAGGTTAATGGATAATTCATTATTTTTTTCCAAATGTATGTGTAATACAATCATTTAAATTGGCAGAAATATTTGCCAATTTTGTATAATATAAAAGGAATATCATTGCTATAAGAAACAATTAAAATATGTTAATCGTGTTATTTTAGTTATGCATTCCTATTATTTTCTTACAAAATGTCGTTCGCCTAATTAGAGTGAAAGTAAAAAATAGTCCAACAAAACATATCGAGTGTAAAAAAGTAATCGTTCGATACATTGTCAGATATTGTTTCATAATTTGACCGTGATTAGGTCTATTGCATTGTCATTACGGTAGGTTATTGAATTATATATAAAGCTTAATAACTTTTGTGCACTTCAGTTTCTGATATTGCTTTCCATCAGTCATAAGTATGTACTCCAAAGTAAGTACCATTTAGTTTACAGGTACTCCCTGGGTATTCACAGTACTCACAGGTTTTTTTAATCTCTGATTTAAAAATATGTACTGTCAATTAAATATATTATATTAGGTCATATAAGTTTCTTATTAGAATCCTATTGATTAGTCTTTTTTTTCTTTTTGTCTTAGAACCCTTATTTTTTTTATTGTCTTGCTGTTTACTTCCATTAAATATCTTCTGTATGATTCTTCACTATTAGAGCCACCGCTATTCGGCAAACATCTAAATATCTCATTCTCAGTGTTTTTTGCTTTCGTCTGTCTATCGTATTTCTATTTTTGATTTTGCGTCTGCAATTTTATAAACATATCCCAGTCATATCAGACATGACTCTGTCTGTTTCTCAATGTGCCTCCAGTAAATTATCATTCCATCGTTTTCGTGGTCTTCCTACTGATCGTCTTCCTATTGGGGAAAGAGGCTTAGACTTGGACCAAGACATGAGAGCCAGGAACAGTCTGGGCCCCAGAAACGCCAAAGACTAGGTCATTATGGGCCTATTTGGGTCTATGTGGGTTTAAACATAACCAGAACCATAACTATACAGCCATCTAGATTTTTCTTTTTGAACGCATTCGAATATATTCTGTGTACTTTTGCTTTAGCTCAGTTTGTATCATACAGATTTTTTATTAAGTGATTTAGATGCTTAGTTACTCCCACGTTTTACATTACACTCCAGAAGGGATCTCATTTTACTGAGATCGAAAGATTTTGTGTAATTAACCAAACAGAGCAGCAGGTGGATTGTGTTCCTTTAATTATCCTATTATTTGTCTGATGTTCAATATTTGTTTCACGTGTTTGTTTTCCCTGGTAGGAATCCGGATTATTGTTCTACTATCATTGAAAGTAGAAAGTTCCCAAAGATAAAAGAGCAATCGTTTCGTAATGGCTGCATACGGCTAGTAAAACTTTTTTATGAATAGGGTAAGGTTGATTCGCAGCATTACAAGGCCATTTATACTTGTAAAATGGCCTTGGGGGTTATATAGTTCCTTAGTTTGTGGGTCTTCTCTACTTCTGCTCGTAAAATGATTAGTTCTGCCTCTTTAATTGTATGTTTTTGTGTTTACAGTATCATATAGTTCTGAGCAATCATTTTTACAGGTTTTTGCAATGATCTTCTATCTCACTTTTTACTTATTCATTATGGTCTTGAATGACTTGAAGTGATGGCTTAAACTAAGGGGCATAAATTCAATTTTTCTAAATAGTTCATGACTTTCATAGCGATTTTCGTGTTGCTCCAGTTCTTGACACACGTTATGTATATAGTTATTTTTATCTCTGATGCACATACATTTTCCTCCTTAGCAGGACAGCTTTGTCTAATAAAGATTATCAGATTTGTTTAATAGGAATGTTATATTTTGCTTTTGATCTACTGTTTTTAAAAGAACAAGGTATTTAAATTTGTATTTTTTTATTTCTTTAGATCTTGTCAGTTTTGGCTATTGCTGCCGTAGCACAAGCTGGTGTTTTAGACTATTCGCATGGCCATGCCACTTCATACGCTTCTTCAAACTTAGGTCTTGGACACGAACATGTTGTACCAGTGGTTGCCCATGGATACAATGCACCAGTCCTTTCACATGGAAACTCTGCACATCATGATGTAGATTACTATGTAAGTTGGTTACAAAAGTTTAATTGAATATAATATTATTTTGTTTCTATGTTTTTTGTAGAGTTATTTTGTTATTATAAATATCAATTAAATATTTTTATACTACACAACAACCCTAACTAAATTAATTGAAGACCGTACGATTTATTTTTAGACAGGTTATTTAGACTGTATTGAAAGTTAAACTTGTGGTAATTTTGTTTGGTATGATTGTTACTAGATATTTTAGTGACTATTTTGATATATTCGATACAGTTAATCAATATTTTTTTTTAAATTGTATCATAAATAGTAAATCTATTTACTCTTATTTGCGTGTTGAAGGCTCACCCCAAATACGAATTCAACTATGGAGTTCAAGACGGCCACACTGGTGACCATAAAACTCAACACGAAGTCCGCGATGGTGACTTAGTTAAAGGTTCCTACACCGTAGCTGAACCCGATGGTACGCTCCGAACTGTCCACTACACTGCCGATGACCACAACGGTTTCAACGCAGTTGTCGAAAAATCTGGACATCCCGTGCATCCTGCTCCTGTCCATGGAAAAGTTCTTGTAGCAGCACCTGCATATTATCACTAAATTATTTTTTGGTTAAACGTTTATTTATGTATTTATTGTTATATTTTATACTTGTTGAAATATAGTATGTAGTACTATATTTTCTTGTATTTCTTTTAATTTTACATAGAGTTTTACATCGATTCTAAGACCTCAATTGAAAAAAAATCACTTTTATGTTACATAAAGTTGAACTGTTCACAGAAATAGAAACTGAAATGAATAAAATTAAATGGGATGTTATCGGTATCTGCGAAGTAAGAAAAAGAGGTAAAACTTTAAAAACACTGAAATCAGGGCATATATTTTATCAGATTGGCCCTAAAACTATCTCAGTTTAAGGCATCGGTTTTTTTTGTCCATAGAAAGCACGCGAACAAGATAATAAACATAAAATGTATATCATCTAGAGTGACATATCTTATTTTGAAGCTAAACAGTAGATATCAACTAAAAATTATCCAAGTATACGCTTCAACAACAGACCATACAGATGAAAAAATCGAAGTGTTTTATGACTATATATCTACTGTGCTTAATGACATTAGTACTCAAATCACAGTTTTTTGTGGCAATTTCAACGCAAAAATAGGTGTAAAAGAAGCAGAGCTAGAAACATCCTTGCTAAAATTCGGTTCCCCAGAAAGAACTGCTACAAAGAATGAAAAAAAGATAAAGAATTACTCAACACTATAAAGAAAAGAAAAATGAGCTACTTTGGTCACATAATAAGAAACGAGAAATACAAATTGATGCGGCTGGTCATACAAGGAAAGGTGGAAGGCAAAAGAGGACCGGGGAGTAGACGCACGTCCTGGTTGAAGAATCTGAGACAATGGAATAAGAAAACGTCAATAGAACTTTCGAGAAAGTCTGCAAATAGAGTTAAATGGGCCACTGCAGATAGAGTTAAAATGGTGATGATCGTCAATGTCCTTAGGAATGGGGCACGTTAAGAAGAAGAAGCAGGAAGACATGCCAGTATGTGAATATTTTCAAGTCACATTACTGTTAAACACCTCCTAACATAATGTGGAAAATACACAAATACACAGTAAACAGACAAAATAACAATATTTTCAGTAATTTAAAGTACTTTTAGCGGAACATTTACCTACCAAAAACTTAATAATGAGCTTTCTTAAAAATACATCTTTATACAGGGTGAGTCATGAGGAACTTTACATACTTCTACCATATGTAGAGTCCCTCAGGGAGCATATCATGTGGCCACTAAAAAATGTCAACTCCTCTCTTTATTAATTAACAGGGTGATTTGTGTAATTGACCATTTATTTCATTTTACGTAGTGTTTATACGGCTCATTTGATTTTTTTAATTTTTGCATGATACAGTACACTACTATCAAGCATTCGACTGGTATTAGCTAAACTAAAAAATTCCAGGACTGCTTTGGAAAAATTAATTTAGGGATTCGTATTAAATATTACACCCTGTATATATATATTATTTTTTAAATGCAATAAGTGATTTTCAAACTACATAAATAGCCAATGAAAACGACATATGCGACAATGTTGTCGCACTTTTATTAAATTTTTAGTGAACGATCAAATCTTACCAAAAATAGAACAACCATAATGAAGTATCAAATTATAAGGTAATTAATTTAAACAAATGTTATAAATTTCAAACATTTTAATTGAAATGATAAACTGAGTCACTGCACAACAAAAAACAGTAACTACTAACAATAACGAAGAACAATTAAAAAAAAACTAAAAATATGTACATAGTTATGATAAACCCATAAATTAGAACTGGAAAAGATACAATAATGGTAACAAAATAAAAATAATTCAAAATAGATTTTCGAAATGGAACCCTGCAGCCTGTACACATTTTTGTTGCCGAATTGTTAATTGACGTATTGAATTACGGATACTCTGGGATCGTTTCTAATAGTATTACAACAATGTATAATTCTATCAATTAATTGTTGTCGGTTATTAATATTCACTGCGTAAACTAGTTGCTTCAATCGTCCCCAAATATTGTAATCAACGGGATTGAAATCAGGGATCTTGAAGGCCACGAAATAGGACCTGCACGTCCTATCCACCTGTTGCCATAAACATTATTGAGATGTTGTCTCACTGCCAGTAAAAATGTGTGGGGTGCCCCATCATGCTGAAAATACATCCCTCGGATAGCAACGTTCGCGTTGGCAAGCAAATTCGGCAAAATATTTTGTAGAAAGTTCAAATAGACCTGCCCTGTTAAAGGACCATCAAAAAAGTGAGACCTACTAATTGGTTATTTATGACACCAATCCACACGTTAACCGAAAACCTTAACTGAGAACGACGTTCTCGAATAGCATGGGGATTTTCTTCTGCCCACACATGTGAATTTCGTGAATTATTTATCCCGTCTCTGTAAATTGGGCTTCATCTGTAAATAGTGTCCTGTATAGCGTTGGTCGATTATTGTTAATCCATCTACAAAATTCCAACCTATCGATCTCATCTCCAGCATGTAGTCGCTGAACCATTTGAATGTGATATGGGTATAGATTATTTTTTTGTAAGACTCTACTTACTTTTGATTGAGTAACATTGAGTTCTCGACTTACTTGTCTAGTGCTTATTGTAGGGTTCATAGTAACGGCGTCCATAATGTCATCTTCCTGCGCTTCATCTACATGTCGCTCTGTTGTTCCACTAGGAAAAGTGCCATTTTCTCGCAAATAATTAAAAACTGACCCAAATGTTGGATGACTGGGAGTTCGACGATTAGGAAATCTCCTGCGATATTCTCTACTAGCAGCCCTACCATTCCCATTACAGAATCCATAAACAAATATTATGTCTGCATATTCTGTGGTCGAAAACTGATGTGGCATTTTGAACGAAAGTAACAAAAGCTCTACCAAAACTAACACAATGTACTTAACGTAGATATGACAGAAGAAATATGTATTCTTGTACACATAAATAACAATTGATAATGACAATAATGACAATGGTATAAAATATCAAGAAACGTCAAACGGTCAACGCCAACCTTCATTTTAAACTTTTTTAGATTTATTTTTATTTAGTACAGTTGATGCAATGTATTATTATTTGACATAAAATTTTAATCATTTACAATCAACAAAAACTAACACATACAAGAGGTTTGACTTTTTAATCAATTTAATTTATTATTTATCGAAAATAATGCCCCAATACGATCTATGAGTAAAAATTTAAAATTGAAAAACAATTGATTCTATCGTAGAGATAATACAAAGTGACAGTAAAGATGTTAATTTTCTACGTATTAGATTATGTTGTAGAACTCATTTTAATTAAAATGTTTGAAATTTATAACATTTGTTTAAATTAATACCTTATAATTTGATACTTCATTATGTTGTTCTATTTTTGGTAAGATTTGATCGTTCACTAAAAATTTAATAAAAGTGCGACAACATTGTCGCATATGTCGTTTTCATTGGCTATTTATGTAGTTTGAAAATCACTTATTGCATTTTAAAAAATATATATACAGGGTGTAATATTTAATACGAATCCCTAAATTAATTTTTTCCAAAGCCAGTCCTGGAATTTTTTAGTTTAGCTAATACCAGTCGAATGCTTGATAGTAGTGTACTGTATCATGCAAAAATTAAAAAAATCAAATGAGCCGTATAAACACTACAGTAAAATGAAATAAATGGTCAATTACACAAATCACCCTGTTAATTAATAAAGAAGAGAGTTGACATTTTTTAGTGGCCACATGATATGCTCCCTGAGGGACTCTACATATGGTAGAAGTATGTAAAGTTCCTCCTGACTCACCCTGTATAATTGAATATAATGTAATACCTAATGTCGCTAATTTTAAGGTGGTTAAAGCGATTATTTTGTGCAAATAACAAAAGCCTAGTCTTAAAAATGTAACCGAAAAGTAGAGTTTCTGTATTTGTTTTACAAGAAAAAAGTTAGTATTTTAGTCTTCCCTCAAAATAACAAAATGAATCTTTTACAAGATTATAACTTAATGATCTTAAAATATAATATTTATTTTTTGAACATATTTTAATTTTATTTTAAGATTTTTAAAGATATTTTAGCAGTAGCATTGTTTCTTACCATTAGAAAAACAAAACGTTAATTCTTTATTAGTGTCGAAGTAATCGAGTGATCAAAGACCTTTAACGTGAATAAGGTTATCGTGTAATCGTGCAAGCAATGTCATGCAATGTCTGTTTAATATCATCGATCTTTAATCTGATTGCCTCATCATGAACAAAAACGTCTTTGAACTCTCGATAGGTGTTGCAGCGTGGTTAACACCGACACAAGAGCAAACCGTTTTTATTGTTTTCCCATTCGAGACTACGGAGAGCAATATTTTTATGAATTCGGCCCTGAGAAAATGAGTCAAATCTGATACACCTACACTACCTTTCGCTCTTTAAAATCTATAAAATTACCGTTACTTGTGGAAGAACAAAAAAGTATTTATTTATTTTTAGTTTGAATTTTGTTAATAATAGGAATATAATTATAATTGATGGCACCTAAAAATATACAAATTACTACAAAATGTTTCCTGAAATTATTGCGATATAGTACAATTGTTGTTATAAAGTAGGATCGTTTTAGCCTATCGCATAAGTAATAAAAGTGTCTGTTCAGATTTGCCGCAGGTAGTCAGCGGTTCTCAAATAAAAATCTATGGTTTTCTTAATTTGATAATACCACATTAGGGATTTTTTTAATAAAATAACTTTGTATTGTATCACAAAATACAGTAGGGTGTATCACAAATTTTTTTTTATTATTTAATTTTTCCAGTTGATAAAAAGTTGTTACTTACCATCGTAGATCTACCAAAAAAAAATCTTTTTGAATTCCAACAATATTAAAGTCTCCCGGAATGCACAAAAAGTTAATAATTTTTTGTAAAAAAATACGTTTTTGAAAAAATAATTTACACAGTTTATAAATTACAAATGATGTAATCAAGTTAATGTATTTTTACATTTAATTTATCCATAGTAA